CCGGCGGCAAAAGTCGCCGGGAGTCTGTTTAAACAGCCCCGATGCTGGCGACGTACACTGTACGTCGTCAGTCACGAAGGGGTTAATTTGTTTCTAAAAAATGCAAAAAAATAGGAAAGAAATTGAAAACAAGCAAATTTTTCACAGCTTTGGCAATAATAATGTGTACATAATTAGTGTAGCTAACAAAGTAATTCATAATAAATTATTTTATTTGTCTCGATTTATAGGGTATATCATATGTCTGAGATTTCAGTTTATTTTGGGAGTTATAGGTCACATAATACCAGGAGTGAAATACAATTTTAGTGTGGAACAATTATAGAATGCAATATGTTTTTCTCCTATCTTTAATAGCCTCCTCGGCACTATATTTTCTTATAATGTTTTTTATTAAACATATTTTTAAAAACTTTTTGGCCTTTTTATAACGTTTTTAATTTTTAAACTAGGGGGCACTAAGGGGTTATTTTTTTATTTACAGGTGCTTTGATACTTAGTATTTCTGAGGAGAATATAGTATTATCCTCAGAGATACTTTGTATCACTTTTGTAACACAGCCGGCTAGCTGTTAACAAAACACAGTGAGCAGCTGCCAGCTGTGACTGTTATGGCTCTGTGATCACAGCGATCAGCTCTCGCTGTGATCACAGGAGTGTGACCACCTAATCTGCTGTTGAGGGTCTACCACGGCCCCCTAGGTACCCATTAACAGCAGTTACTCAATGAGCTGCTGGTCCCGTCAAAGACTAGTGCTCATTGTACTGATTGACGGAAGTATCCCGTTACCGGTCGTTAACAAACTGAATGATCATGACGGGATAATTCCGTCATCAGTCATGGAAGTGGTTAATAATGGGGTAAAGATAACAACTGTCAGCATCTTCCAACACTTGTGGCAGCCCCCAAAATCCAGTGGCTTCCTAATTGCTTCTTTCTTACCAGCCAGCAAATGGTTCAACTAATTGTGTAGTGGCATTCCTGCCAATGTTTAACGGTATCAGTGGTCCAGTAGCAGGGACAGGGAAGATCTTCCGCAAAAAATAATACATGTAAAATTAGTACACATATATGAAAATAATAGAAATGAAAAAAGTTACAAATAATAATTTAAAGAGTAGCAACTGTGAATCTGTCACTGTGGAACCTTGATTATATGGAGGTGCTGCAGCATTAAGAACTTGGCCAAACTAGCATTCAGATATCAGATATGGGGGTGGCTCTAGTGGAGCTTGTGTGCATCTCTAGCTGGTGGCTTTCTCTTGCTTCCAACTGCAAAGTGACCCTGCTCCCTCTTGCAGCTTGACACTGCTCTCCCACCTCTGTCTCTGCTTTAGGGATGTCCTGCTCTGCCCTTTTTGGCCATCATGTGCAGTCTTACACATCATCATTCTACTGTCCACAGAAAACACCAGATGTTGCCCCTTTGAAGGATGGTGCTGCTGCATGGCAACTGTCCTCTGACTGGAGCATGACATCCTCAGAAGCAATGACAGGCTCTAACCCATTTATGCTTCGCTGTCTTTTTATCAATTTGTCACTGCCAGTCCTCTTTCTAAGAGTTGGAGAGCCATGGCTCCTCCTGCAACAAGGCAGAAATGGAGCATAGCTAGATTGAAGGTTTCTGGCAGGATAACAGGAAAATTGTAGTTCATACTTACTGCAATTTTCCTTTCCTGTCCAGCTCCATGGCAGCATATGAATGGGTTAATCCCTCCCTCCTCCCCCTAATCAGCATTAGTGATGGGCTCGGGCATGTTCGCAAGCGCCTTGTGCCGAGCCCGCCGGGAAGCTGTCAACGTGCAGGGCCAATCACAGGCACTGAGACATTTCCCAAACTCTGCAGCTGCGGACCAGGATCATGTCTCAGTGCCTGTGATTGGCCCTGCACGTTGACAGCTTCCCGGCGGGCTCGGCACGAGGCGCTTGCGACCACACCTGAGCCCATCACTAGCACAACATCCATGCCGCTAGGCAAAGTTTCATAGGTGCTGGGTGAAGGATCAGACCTTGAAAGAGAAGGTTCGGCAATGGCAGTAGGAAAAATGGAGGCCGCATACTCATCAGGCTGAGGAGAGGATAACAAGGCCTCTTGGGCAAGGTCGGAATCACTGCCAGGATAGTCACATCCTCTCTCCAGAGTCTCCTCAAGAATTGTAGCATGAGCGGAACCAGTGGGAAGGCATAAGCCGTCTGGAACATCCACTCTGCTGTTAGGGCTTCCGTCGCCACCGCTTGTGGACACGGGAACCTCGAGAAGAACTTCACGACTTTGGTGTTGGTACGGGACGCAAATAGGTCTACTTCGGGAGCAAAGCTCCATGACACTATGTCCTGAAAAACTTGATTGAGGAGACACCACTCAGTGTTGTCCAGGGGAACCGGGGACAGATAATCCGCCTGGAGATTGAGGGGACCCAGCACGTACACTGCTGATAAATGAAGAAGATGGATCTGAGCCCAGGTCATAATAGGAGAGACTTCTTCCAGTAGGGTTCGACTGCGTGTACCCCCCTGTCTTCTGATATAAGCCACTGCTAAGGTATTGTCGATCTTCATCAGAACTGACTTCCCCAGGATTAAGTGCTTGAAGGCCAACAGTGCCTGAAACTCCGCCCTCAGGTCCGGGACATTGGAGACAACTCCTGCTGCAGGAAAAGACCAGTGAATTGATAAATCGTGTGCACTGCCCTATTGCTCATAAACGTGCATAAACTTCCAAACAATGTGTACATTTTCATAAACATAAATTTTCAAACATAATAATAATCAATATGACAATATTCAATAGTAGTCCTTAGTAAATCGGTATAAAGAGCTTTTGTGCAAAATCCTCAATGTGACAATGATCCTCTGAAATAAAGTGCTCCAAACTCCCGATGTGTTAAGGTAACTGAGAACACACTCACCAGAGATCCATGACCATATAACTCAATGGTCAATAAACGTAATTGTGGTGAGTGTCTTTCATAGATGGGATATTCACTCTTCTGAATAAACAAATCCTCCTTTTCGTATTACACGGCAGGTGCCGCTCACTCAGCGAGGGGAGAAATCCAATATAAAAGAGGAATAAATGCGCCAAATGGTGAAGTATGTAAAAAAAAATCGGAATTTATTGCAACAATAAAACACACTTACAAGATAGCCAGAATTAAATCGCCTTGCAGCAAACAATCGATTCCACCTAAGCAAACTGGTACCAGAAATCCACCTGCTAGTCACCTATGGTGTAGCTTCAGTATGTGTCCTATCCTTTTCGATGCGTTTCGTCCCTTGACTTTTTCCAGGAAAGGTTCACATACTGACATATAGCTAGGGCTTCCTTATATAGCCCCAGGATGAATCACCACAATGGTTTATTGACCATTGGTCATGGATCTCTGGTGAGTGTGTTCTCAGTTACCTTAACACATCGGGAGTTTGGAGCACTTTATTTCAGAGGATCATTGTCACATTGAGGATTTTGCACAAAAGCACTTTATACCGATTTACTAAGGACTATTATTGAGTATTGTCATATTGATTATTATTATGTTTTAAAATTTATGTTCATGAAAATGTACACTTTGTTTGGAAGTTTATGAGCAGTAGCACAGTGCACACGATTTATCAATTCACTTATTTATAGCACAGCAGCTGACACTGTTTAGTGTAATCATTGGATTTACTTTAGGGGAATATTTAGGGCAGCACATTTATATATATATACGGGAAAAGACCAGTGACCTTGAGCAACCTCTCTCAGACAGACGGCACCCCAACCCCACTTGCTGGCATCCGAGGAAATGACTGTCCACGTGTACGACGGAGAAAGTGACAGCACAGTAGGTTCTGATCCATGAACCACCACCCCAGGCTGCTCCGCATTTGGGTAGTGATCCGAATGAGTTGGTGGAGATTCTCTTCCACTGCCGCAAGAACTGCTGCAAGGTGGACACTACCAATGAGAGATGCTCCAGCAGCAAGACCCGACTGTGATGTAACAGGAGGATTTTATCCAAGTAATGGAAAATACGTACTCCTTTTTCTCGCAGCAAGGTTGATCAGAGCCAGAAGGATCTTGGAGAAAACTTGCAGGGCCATTGCGAGTCCAAACGGTAGACAACAGAACTGGAAATGGAGTTTTCCTAATGAAATACGGAGGAACTTCTGAAACAAGGTTTGAATGGCAACATGAAAATAGGCGTCTTTTAAGTCTATCGAAAGCATCCAATCCCCAGGGTGGATCACTTTCAGGATAGTCTGCAAATACTCTGTCTTGAATGATGCTTCTTGATGTGTCCGTTCAGTAATGTGAGGTCAATCACCGGTCGCCAATCTCCCATCTTTTTCTGCACTAGTAAAAGCGGAGAGTAAACGCCTTTGAAGCGGTCCTGTCTTGGTACAGAAGCTACCACCACTCGAGACAGCAGATTGTCGACGTAGGAAAACAGAATTGCACATTTGGAAAGGCCCTGAGCAATTCTGGTTGGGTGAAAAATGGAGCAAGGACACCTGTGGAACTCCCATTGATGGCCCTTGAAGACAGTTTCCCTTCACCCAATGATCTGATATACTGTCCGTCCAGACCTGCCCGAACTTGGCCAATCTGGCCCCAACTGGGCAGCCCTGGACGGGCAAGCTCTCAAAAGGGCTTTTGAGATCCTTTTACTGCAATTACAACCTGCACACATTATGTGAATTCTGTCTTTGTTGCACATACTGATGCTTCCATGTCAAATCAGTTGGTTGTAGTGGATATCAAGCCAAGTCTCTGAAAATTGTGCTCATTAGCTCAAATACAAGGGAACATTTAGAACAGATGATGGGCAATTTACTGACATATATAGTATATATAAAAGTCAATAGAAATAACTAGTTAAATTGGATATATTCAATTATTACAGATTACAGTATGTAATTAGTGTATATTTTTCATTAATTACTTGTGAAATATGTGAAAAATGACTGCCAAATAACATGTGTAAATTACTAAATTTAAGCTGTCATTTTCTAGGTCATGTTATGGTGAATGGTCCAACTACACCCATTCCTGTTAAGGCAAAGCCATCTACTGTTGATCCTGTCTTGCCCCCTGTGCCAATGAGTAAGTATTGTGCACTATTTGATACCTAATCACTTCAGTTATTCAGCAGAGAAAGAATCTTGCACAAGACAGTCCAAATTTTATTTTTGCACCTGTAGCTTCTTCAGTCAAAAATCAACAATATTGCTTGAATTATCTACATCAATAGATGAGTGAATAATTAAAAGTTTGCTCAGCCAGCAGTTCCCCTGATCTAGTTCACAGGGTGCGGATTCAACTTTAAAAAAATATTGTAAAACTCTAGACAAATTTAAATTTGTATTTAACGAGGAAGAGTTGTAACTGCTGTTTTTTAATTATTGTGTGGTCTCCCTAGAGAGACTTCCCCTACCTTTCTGTCCTAGTGACAACCATGAAGTGAGGAGAATCTCCCTAACCAGGATACAGACACCAGCATAAAAACTGTCAGAGGTACTAACCCCTCCTGACGGAACCCCCATTTGAGAGATTATCCTGTATTAATGTCCACACAGGAATTAAAGAGTAATTTTTTGCAGTGCAGCCCCAGACAGCAGTGAAAACCTGACAAAGGTCAATAAATGTAAAAACACTCTAAACTGTAAAAAATAAAATGTTGAGAGTTTAGTTTTTTGTTTTTTTTTCAGAAATAAGTTTTTATTGAGTTTTGCACAAAGACAAAAGAACATGGATACAATAACAGAAACAAAGGACGTACATACAGCACATAAACCGCGGTCTCATAAATTAGATACATATCATGTCCGGGCCTTAGAGCATAGAAGGCACTCATGGTGTAGGCAATTAGGAAATCCCTGAGCTATCGCACCACTATAGTATGTGATTGGTGGAGCGCGGGGGGAACCCATAAAGGTGACCCCAGGTTGGTTGGATTGTTAGAGGGATCTGCTCGAACTCACCGCAACATCCGAAACTCCTCCATATCTAGGAACATAATCCACGGCCTCCATCTGGTCAGAAAGGTATTGGATCGGTCAGCTCTCTCTGCAATGAGCTCCTCCGATTTCATCAGGCGGCACATCTCCGTTGTCCATTCCGCAACTGATGGGATGACAGTGGAGTTCCAATGGCGAGGGATTAAGGCTCTAGCAGCAATGATAAAGAATCTAAGCAGTGATTTCTTCACCTTAGAGATAGAGCCCGGAAAGACCGATAATAGAGCCATCTCCGGCGTAATGTGCAGATCAATGGAAGTAACTCTGGAGTAGTGAGATAACTCGCCAAAAGGGCAGAAGCAGAGGGCAACTCCACCACACATGGGCCAACGTGCCCGGTCCAGCCTGGCATCTCCAGCAGTTGTCCGGGTACGTGGAGGAGATCTGGTGCATTCTGACCGGGGACCTATACCATCGGGTCAACAGTTTAAAGTTCCGTTCTTGTGCATAAGTTAACATACAGAGTTTGTGTGTAAAGCATAGACATTTGTGACGGTCATCCTCCGAGAGGACGATTCCCAACCTCTGTTCCCAAGCAGAAAAGAAGTATAGGGAATCTCCGCTGTGCGTGGTGATTAAAACTTGGTAAAGTAGCGAAACTGGGCGTTGGATTGGCAGACCAGAGGCGCACAGGTCCTCAAAAAAAGTGAGAGGCCTATAGAGAGCGCCCGACACAGACAATGCATCCACAAAATGTCGGAGTCGAAAGTAGGCCAGCCAGGAAGATCGCGGGAGCGGGTTGGGGCCAGACAGTGATGCTAGTGGCTGCAGGGCCGTTCCCAACAGGCACTGAGATACATAACAAGGTTCAGAGACCTTCCAGCACAAAAAGGTGGGAACTCCATACCCTGCCGGAAAATCCGGGTTGGCAACGATCGGGGTCATGGGGCCCCTAGGCGTAGATAAGTTATATCTGGGCATCGTGGTGTTCCATACCCGTAACACTAGGGGCGGGAAAAAGGGAAGATTCGGGGGTTAGCCGAACCCGGCTGTAGATTATAAAGGGAAGAGAAGAAGGTGTGAAATTCTTCGGCAATACGTTCAGAGCTATGGACCACTCCATGCTTAGCTGAGTTGATTTTTGGGACATATGTGCAGAGCCGTTGCCCACGAACCGAGCGAGCCAACAAACGCCCGCTTTTATCGCCATGCTCGTAGAAGATGCTGCGCACCTGATCCCTATGAGAGAGATACTTAGCTCTAACAATCTCTGGATTTCCAGTCGCACCCTGGTCAAATCCTGAAGCAGTGTGGGGGATGGAGCTTTTTTATGCACAGTTTCCAGTGAAGTAAGGTCTGACAGCAGGTTTAACTGGGTAGTCCCCCGTTCCCTTTTCAGTCGCGAGCCGTGTTTTATGAACACCCCTCGAATCGTGGCTTTAAGAGCTTCCCATTGGATAGGGGCAGGTGTGGTGTCAGCTGCATGATCAGAGAGAAAGTGGGTAAGGGTAGTTGCAACATACGATATACAGACGGGTCCAAGAGAAGATTCTCGTTCAATTTCCACGTATAAGATGGTTTACACATGCCCGGGACCTCTAAAGTGAGAAACACCGGGGAATGATCGGACCAGATTCGGGTACCAATAGCGGTAGCAGGGGCCCATGAAAGAAGATGATGTGAGATCAAAAAGAAATCAATCCTGCTATACGAGTTGTGTGGGCCAGAGTAACAAGTGTAGTCCCTATGACGGGGGTGTAAAACCCTCCATGCGTCCACGAGCTGGAGAGAGTGGAGGCGTTTCTTAAGTTTATTAAGCAACGGATACGAGATCTGTGACCTCCCCGAGGTAGTGTCCAGACTAGGGTCCAACACCAGATTGAAGTCGCCTCCCAAGATGAGGACGCCCTCCGTGAAATCTGCAAGTTTAGAGAGAATAGACCGTAACACAGGGACCTGACCCTGGTTCGGCATATACACGTTAGCCAACGTGAACGTCCTATTCTGAATGGAACATTGCACAAAAACATACCTCCCATCTGGGTCAACCCTATCAGCAAGTATCTCACACGTCAATGAGGAATGGAATCCTATCGCCACTCCCTTGGTCTTACCACAGGGGTTGGAACTGTATACCCATCTGGGGAAGTTGCGACATGTAAGGAGAGGAGCCTTAGCGAGCAGAAAATTTGTCTCCTGCAAGAAGACAATCTGATTATGGAGTTTGTGTAGATCATACAGGAGTTGCGACCGTTTCTGAGGTGAGTTCAGACCCCTAACATTCAGAGAGCATATTTTCAGGCCTTGCATCCGGAAACCGATAGCAAGGGCAGGTAATCAAAAGGACACTCCAAGCTGTCCAAAGTAAGGAAGGGGGAAAGGAAAGGGGTAAAGAATAGACAACAAGGACACACGAAATAGGGAGAGAAAGGGGACAAGGGCAATAGAAGGGAGAGAAAGAGACCAGACAAGTCGAACCACAAACAATCTAGGTAGGGACACAAAAGTCCCTAAAATACCCAAACACCTGTGTACAGGCGAGGGAAGGCCCAGGAACAATCAAAGGAGTAAATATGGTATTAAACATGTCATATATATGAAAAACCAAAACAGTAAAACAATGAACTAGGAACACATAAAAGTAAAAACATGCCAACTTCGTAGCGGCAGAAGCCAGTAATAAACTTCCATGTATAACAGACCCGAAAGGGGGAGAGATGTAATCCCACCGCTGCAACTCACCCCCTGACGTTCAGACATGTCAATAAAGGCAAATCCCAGTTAACCCCTCCCCACATTCCACATAAACATGCTGTAGAAACCAAAAACAAAAACAGTGCATTCAGATAGATCAACATATGCCCGAGGTACAGGGGTGAGAGGAGTAGTCCACAGATCTCCGGTGCTGTTCCCCCACAAGGGAGAGGGGGGGGGGAGTGTTTGGAGAGGAGGGTAGGGGAAGACGGTGGGAGAGAAGAGAAGATGGAGGAGCCAGGAAGGTAGGGAAGGAAGAGGGTGAAGGGGAGAGGGAATGTAGGGGGGGAGAGGGAAGGGGAGGGGTGGAGAGGAGGGCAGGTGGAATAGGG